TGAAGTTCAAGGAGGCCTGCTCTGAACGCAAGGAGGGGCAAGACACAGAGCACACAGCTGGCTGCCCTTGCTTCCCCTGGCCACGGACAGTTGATCCCACATCTTCCGTAGCCACCCCCACTCAAGCTTTTGAGGGATTCCTGTGGCTGCTAACAACAGAGGTTGTTACCCAGGCATAGACGATATACGGTAGAAATGTGGAGAGTTTTCTTTCCAAAATATCAGGAAGAAGAAACATCAAGAGAGGAGACCCCTATGTAGGTACGGAACCCACACTGGCTTTAGGCAGGTTGTGATTTCAGCATCAAGTAGTGCTGCCCAGGAGCATTTTCAGGAAGCCTTTGTGGAGGTTATTAGCTCAGATTGTCTACAGACCACAGAAAGTCTCAAATATGCTACTTCCCAAGGTAGCACACAGGTTTCCACCACCACCAGTCCAGCAGTCCTTGGATTGTTCCTAGGAGGAAGGGACCAGACATTTCAGTATGGGCGTTTCTTTTCCACTGAAATTCTGGTGGTTGCTGTGTGGCCTATAAAAGGAGACTGACCACCACCCCCTCTGCTCCCCTAATCCTGCTCCTCCCCCTTGCTCATAAACATCGATCACACAGGCAATCACCTAGGAAACGAGAGCCCCATTATAGGATGTGTTAAGCTTGCACATTCCACATTTATGCTGAATTTATTACCTATTAATCACTAACATCAAACAATTCTAAGTGTTCTCAGGAAATGCGAACAACCTAAAGAGTGACGTGTTAGTCTAGATGGATCCATAGGAGCCTGGGAGGAGGGAGAGGAATGATAATCTATTCCCAGGAGTGGACATGCGCCCTGCCTCCTGGTGGATGAGTGGAAACCAGGCTTCACTAAACTGTGGGTAGATCAAAGCTGCCGGGCAAGGGAGGGCCAGAAGAGAGTGCGTAGCAGCATCACAGGAAGGCGATCTTCAGAAAGGATCAAACGCTTCATCCAGCCCGCATCCCAGATCGCAAACTAAGAAGATCGTGGGGAACCTGGAAAAGATTCAGAGATGAGGCTCACAAAACAAACCCAGTGAGGACAAAGGGTAGGAAGGTTGTTTAGCACAGGAAAGCAGGCCCCGGTCCAACCGAATAAATTTCCGAGATGATGAGGTTTTATTACTGGAGGTTGCTGGCCGATCTCTTTCCCCTCAGAACCCCGCTCCAGCACCAGAGATTCCACTTAGATATGGAAACTTATTTCTGCCGGTGAGAGTCATGCACTTTGCAGGGAGAGTCTGAGGCCCCCACCGCTCCCCTCCTCCAGAGGCTCTTCGGGAAACAGGGGAGTTCCTATTCATCCGCAGTGGCTGTGACAACTGGGTCTGGTTAAAGATCCTAGGTGGCCCTGACCAAGGAATCCTCCAAATCTCATTCCACAACAGTGTGCAGTCAGCTCCTCTCGGACCTCTGCCCCATCATGCAGTGGGTTCCCAGGGCAGCCAGGTGACACTCAGAGAGTCTCCATGTCACTCAACAAACCGTGAAAGCCTCCCATTCTCTTTTCCCCTGCCCCACCCAGTGAGATGTGCCCAGGACCGCGAGGGCTATTTTGCCGAACGTCTGTACGAATCCATGAAGGGTGCGGGGACGGATGAGGAGACGTTGATTCGCATCATTGTGACCAGGGCTGAGGTAAGACGCACTCGACTCCAAAGAGTCTGCTTCAGCTTCTCTTTTTCCCACCACTGATGTTCTCGACAAATAGTTTCTATTAAGGGCCTATTTACAGAAAAAAGTAAAACAGAGACGACCCTTGCCTTCCCAGAATTTGTAGAAGACATTGTGCTCTGGTTCAATCTGTTTCTTTTTATAAAAATACAATAATGATCGTTGCTTCTATTTCTGTCCTCTGTGGCTCCGGAGAGCTCCTGGCGGGTGCAGAGGGGACCCTGCAGAGCCATTGTGAGGGACAGCAGCTATGCACGGCTGGCTCCATTTTAAGGAAACCAAAACAGACACCTGAAGGAGGTCACCCAGCTGCAGAGACAATAAGCAAATGATTTTCTAATTCCAGAGCCAGGCCTTTATATAGTTGAATACACCACAGGAGCACAATTTTGCACAAAAAACACATCAGTATGAGACAATGTTTCTCAACCTTTTTAAAAAAAAAAAAATTATTGTCCCCTAAGGCGCCTTTTCAGGCACTTTATTTTCCCTAATTGCCACCCCCCTCCTCCGAGAACTGTTAACACCACAGACAATACTATATGTCTGTGTTTAGGTACCATAGGAATACCAGTGATTTATACATTAAAAGGTTAAGGTTCATTTTTAACCCCTAAGAACTAATTTTGGGCCCCTCTCGAGATCATGCATGTGAGGAAGGGAAAGGGTGAGTGGCCAAAAGCTGAGCACCGCACTCAAGATTCCCAGCTAGTGCTTTGGGATATAGGGCCACAGACAGAAGGGGACACAAAATAAAGGGGACACGGCATGTCTTCTGCAGTAGGAAAAGCCTTGGAGAATGAAGTGAAACTAAGCGCTTGAAAACCACAGACATCGCCCTTAAACAAATGTTCAATGAAGGGGAAGAGTTACCAACCCCAATTCTGATCCATGGCTTCTGGAGAAGTAACACTTAACATCTGACACTGTTTTTAAATATAACTTTGCAGCGAGACAGTTCTTTCGTTTTTATTTCTATTCCTGGAATTTCTCCTCCTCCTCCTCCACTACTCATCTTTTGCATTCTGTATTAAAGTGCATTTCTCCCTCTCCTCCCTCTTCCCCTCTGCAGGTCTCTCTGCTGCTCTCCCACCGTTCCTCTCCTCTCTCCCTCCTGTATCTCTCCAGGTGTCTGCCTTCTCTGCGTCTCTGTCTCTGAGCAATTCCTCAACCCCCAGCCAAAGTCAGAGAGGTCCTGAGGGTCTCCAAGGGAGCAGGTTGGCAGCAGGCAAACCCCCAGGGAGACTGGATCCACCCAGAGAGAGGGCTTGTCTGGGTTCCATGCTCACTCCAACATGGACCATGGAGTGTTTCATTCCAAGACGCTCCATCCCACCTCGGAACTGACCACACACCCTGGGTCATCTCATCATATGGATGGTTTCCCCAGAAGCCTTCAGGCCCAGTTACATATAGTATTAATAGTTTGGCTGGGTCTCCTAATCCCCAAAGCCACATGGTACTAGGACAGAGCCCTGGGGCACCCCCTCCGCCAGCACTGGGCAGGCAGCCAAGCAGGGGGCAGGGGAGAGAGGGGCAGACTCCATCCCCACCTGTAGTCTCTTTCCCCTGCTCAGCATCCACTTCAGACCATCCCCTGCACTCACGATCTCCTGTTCTCACCTTCTCCCTCTCTCTGTCAGTCCAGCCTCTAACTGGGGCAGGAGAAGAAAGAGCCAGACACCTGAGCCACACTTCGTAGGTCTGAGGCGCAAGGTACAGTCTAAACCAAGAAAGAAAAGAAAAAGTCCTGGTTAAAGAGAGCTCTTTGCTTCTTTTATGAGACTCATAATGTTCTATCTGGAATAATATCTTTTCTGATGCAAGTTCTCCCTTACTAGGTTGTAAGAATCTTTTGGCAGAGCAATCTTTCCATTTGTTTTTCTCCTGAGTCCTATCCCCACTTTCAGGACTTTGTTTTTTGTGGGGCTATTGTTTTTCAAATTTTCAATGAATTAGCTTCAAAATAAGTCCTGCAAATTGATATTGATTTGAATTTTGTTGACTGGCACTAATATCCTCACTGTTCAGGATATGAGGGGGGAAAATGCTTAATTTCAAATCTCTGTGTTCATAATTTTCTTAACCTTATAACCAGGGGGTCAGCAAACTATGGCCTGCAGGGAAAATCAGACCCACTGCCTGTTTTCATACAGTCCTGCTACATAAGAATGATTCAGTTTCAAATATTAAATGTAAAAAACTCAAAAGAAAAAATATTTTGTTATGCATAAAAGCCATAGGAAATTCAAGTTTTAGTTTCCATAAATCAAGTTTTGATGGAACATACTCATATGCAGACACCTCTGCAACCTCTGGGAGGCTGAATTCAGCTATCCATTTCTCATCCACAAAGTAGAAATAATATTATTAATAGCTCTACCTCACTGTTTTGGCATAAACAAGCAAAGGACTGCAGTGTAATGTGCTTAGAACTGGGCCTGCCGTTTATGGTGAGACCACTATAATGTTCTTGTCCCCATTGCTGTTATCGTTCCCACAGGTGGACCTTCCGGGAATCAAAGCAAAGTTCCAAGAGAAGTATCAGAAGTCTCTCTCTGACATGGTTCGCTCAGACACCTCTGGAGACTTCCAGAAACTGCTAGTGGCCCTCTTGCAGTGAGCCAAGCCAGAGCAATAGGAACACAGGGAGGACCCACCTTTGTCAAGAGCACATTCCAAATCAAACTTGCAAATGAGAGTCCAGCATGAAAAACCCTCAAGTATCCTGGTTTATTTTCTTGGCAGCTTAAGCAGTGCAGCGGGGCCAAGCTATTTAAGTTAAGGGCGGCCATGTCAACATGCTCAGGCAGGTCACCTTGAACGCCGGCTTAGCTTAGCAAGTATGTGGGCTGCCTCTTAACTTTCCTTTAGCATAGTAACTGAATGCTTTCCAAGCACAAATGAAATCAGCAGTTGACGAAAAAACTATGCATTTGTAATAGTGTGTTTAGAAGACTATGTATCACATAGAAGTGTGTATGTTCTGGGTAAAGTTTGGACGGTTAAGGTACAGGAAAGACAAAATTAAACAATGTGTTAATTTTCCTTCTGTGTATTTAATTTATAAGCCTCAATATTAATTAAAGTTGTGGATTATGTCTCCATTAGCTGCTTTTCCAAAGACTGGCTTAATTAATTTGGGCTCTTGTCCTAGAAACATATGACTTGTGAAGTTCAAACATATTTGGGAAATTTAAACAGTTACATTTGTTAATAATCACCAAGGACAAGGAAACAATTCACTTGCTTATGGGAAATGTAACTAAGGGTAAAATCCCTAATCTGCTACCTGATTCAATTGGGTTTTCTCACTTCTCTAGACATTTGATTTACTTGAGTCTTCCTTCTGATCTTCAAATGAAATTAGGCTGAGCAAAGTGCCAATTGGATCAAGGTCAAAGGACTACCTCTCAGGCTGATTGGTTCTGCACCAAAAGAATCTCTGTTCCAAGGTGCTGGTCTCACAGCCATATGTTGCTAGACATAGACAGATCTGTAAAGAGAACCTGAACCCTTGGTCCAATAACCATAGTTGTTTGTGCCTGCAATACTATGTGGCATAATTTCATACTTCATCTTTCTCACAGCTCTATAAAGTTAATATTACTCCCATTTAGCAGTTGAGGAAACCAAGACATTAAGTAATCTGGCTAAAATCATTCAGAAACAATAGTATTAGGATTTGAATCCAGGGCTGGCTGACTCCAGAAATCACGCTACTGATCACCTTTCATGGAAAAATAAATTGAAATACATGGGAATGGGTCTGTTGTCTCCTTTATTCAACAGAATGCTGTAAGTGCATTAATAGGAGAAGGTAAAGGGTTCTACCCATGAGCAAGAAGAGGGAACACACAGCTCCACATGGGGGAGCTGGGAAACACTTCACAGAGATGCATCTGTCCTAGGTTTTGGAGAATGCGTAGAAGCTCTCCAAAGAAGTAGAGGAAGGAGGGCACAGGCAGGGGCCCAGATGCCTGAGTGGGCAGAATGTGTTCAAGTGGTGAAACCCCCTCTCCTGCGGCAGAGATGTGGTGAAAGGAAGGAGTGGGCTGTGGAGGTAGGCAATGAGGTTGCTGAAAATAGGTTCAGATCACACCAGCTATGGTTTTGCCTGCCAAGCATGGGTTTGGTCCTTTGGGCCATGGCAGTCACTGGAGATGTTTGAGTGGAGAACATGACCAGATTTGGACTTGGGAAATCACTTTGGTTGTCTGATCAACATATAGCAAATAGCCCCAAAGCTCAATCTATAGATGGTGTCTGGGATAGATGTTATGTGTGTCTTTTGAGTGGCTATAAAATTGTGATTGACAAATTAAGACGTTACATTAACATTGCTGTCTTCAATATCCTGGTTTATCTATCTAACAGTCATTGTCATCATTATGAGATTTAACACATTATAAAGTTATTTTCTAGAGCCAAGCTCAGTGACAAAACATACTCGTGTTTACTTATTTGTTGCCAAAGCTGGTCTTTGCTTTCATAACCAGAAACAAAACAACCTGTTCTTGGGATCTGAGCTCATAGTAAGGACAGAAAAACAAACTGATGGCCTGAAAAGAGATCTATTAAAAATGGACATAATTTGAGATCGCTGATGGCCATAATTCACATGAGGAAGAGTGCAAAGGTATTTCACTGGTGGAGAAACTGAGGCTGAATAAGACAGAGATGCAAAGTCATTTGCTCGAGGTTGCACACGGGAAACACCAGGGCCAGAATTCAGCCCCAGGTCCTTCTGACCCCAACATCTGTGCTCTCTCTGTCAGTCTCGCTCATGGTCCACAAATATTTTTGTCCAAAATGTTGCTGAGCAAGGCATGGAGGTACCTCTCTCCGAGGCTGCTGAGCACTGCTTGTCACCTGCCAGCAGGAGCCAGGGTCTCTGTGTATGGCTGAGGTCTGGCCCACCTAGGAGTGCCCCACCCTGTTTGCTCCCAGGAAAGCAGCTCAGGAAGGTCATCCTTTCTCTTCCACACACCTCTGCCCCGCCCTGCCCAGGCCACCCAAGTCCCCAGCCTCAGAGGGCGGAGCCTGCCTAGAGGCATGGGAAGAAGGAGAGGACAAAGATGGAAAGACAGGAGAGCAACACCATTTTGTCATCCTCCCATGGGCAGCCCTGTCCCATATACCATCCCATCCCCTTCATCCAGGGCCACTGCAGGAGCGCCAGTTCCCGCCACTCAGGTGTCAGATAGGTGGGGAGGGGTCAGGACCCCACCTCCAGGCCTGCACAGGTATATGTGTAACTCAGCCCACATTTCCCCAGGAAATTCGGTCCCAGGCTCCGGTCAGACTTCACTCTGCTGCTCACTCGCAGAGAGTCACCTGGGTGCTGCAGGTGAGCAGACTTCAGGGAGCTGGCCTGGGTGAACCATGGCAGAAGCCGAGAGTCCCCCTGAGGAGCCCAGGGCATCCCACCACCACATGTGGGAGCTCCAGTCCTCTGCAAGTTCCTCTTGGTAGCGCTGGGGGTCCCAAGTGGCACTGCATGCAGGCCCACCCTAACATGCGTGGGTCCAGCACATCTCCCGGCTCCTTTCCCTTTTCTAGCTCTGTCCCAAATTAAGAGGGGACTATGAGGGCTACCCAGCCCACACGGCCAAGTCCTGTCCACAACCCTGCCCATAGGCCCAGGGAAGAGGCCTGCGCCTGCCCTGGAAGCCAGCCCAGGGCCCTGTGGGCAGGGACGTTTGAGGTCTCAGGTGCGTAGCTCAAGGCCTAGGAAAGGGGGTCCAAGCAGCAAGTGGGGGTGTCTCCTCAGCCCCATGGATCCTCCCACCACACAGGTCAGGGCACTGCAAGAGGAGGGTCTACACAGTGCCCTCGAGACAGTGGGTCTGGGGGTGGGGAGCCCAGGGACCTGGGATCAGGTCACGGCTCAGGTCACGGCTCCCGTGAGCCCCTCCGAGTGGCACTGCCCACCTGCCTTCTTGTTCTTCTCTGGCCTCTGACTCTCCCAATTCTTCTCCTTCCAGGAGACCAGCTCAGCTTGCTGGGACCCTGCATGGGCCTCGATCACATTGCATGGGCAAAATACCTTCCCATAAACACACACACACACACACACACACACACACACACACACACACACACAACTTCCTTCTGCTACACAGGTGATGCCACCTAGCCTGGCCTTCGGGAGCCTGATGACTGGAGGTGAATATTTCTTTGTCATTCATCTCTAGCCTTTCCTGTGTCATGACTCCCAAGTGCAAGGGGCTGAAGGTAACTGGTGGCCACAGTGACTAGCAGTGTGGATTGTCTATGGCACAAGGCTGCCTGGCTGAACCCCAGCCCTGGTCCTCCCCACCGCAACTGCCTGCAGGACTCCAGCTGCCTAGAGAAGGCGCCTCCTACCGATTTGCACAGAGGCACCCATGGGCTGCTTCTGGCATTGTACGTTATTTATTTTACCTGGAAGGGGTTCATTCCGGAGACTCTTCTCTGGACAAAATGCCTTATTACCAGTTTCTTACTCTAAAAATTTTAAGTTCTAACTCTCTAGGTAGCCCATGTAACCATATAATCAATCCCTGTAAACCTATTATTCGTAGAAAAGTGTTAAAACGTGAAGATGAGGAGGAAAAAGGAGATGAGAATAGTCCAGTGAAGACAGAGGCTTTACTTTATCACATGGAGCAGGTAGATGGGGAAGAAAGGGGACCATGGTGAGGGACACGGCTGCCTTTCAGGGGGACCGCAGTCCAGTCAGAATCAGATGTGACAGTCCCTAGAAGCCTCCACCATCCTTGCCCAGAGGGCAACGTGCCCCTGGCCCAAGGGTGTGCATTCTGGCTCTTTCTGCAGCAAGAGACTAACAGAACTCCTCCAGACTGTAAACAAACTGTGTCTCAAGCACATTACAGCCAATAAAAATGCCTCCGAAACAAGATAAGCTGAGAAAAAAGGGTGCTAGAAAACCAGAAATGGTATTCAGCTCCCCATGCCAACAAGTAAGAGCCCCCACACTGAATACAGAGAGATGTCAAGTCAGCCTGTCTGTGTCCCAGCAATTTCTCCCACGTCTAGGTGCAGGGTGCAGACCAGTGTGTTGGGAGACAGAGGGTCAGGAGAAAGAAAAGAAATGCCCAGGGGTGCAGCAGGGGTGGGATTATTTAAAATAAACTTTTTGTTTATTTTATTTCTGTAAATTTCAGATTTAAAGAAAAGTTGTAATAGTATTAGAGAGAGATATCCTAGACCCCACTCCCAATTTCCCATATTACTAACGTGAACATGGCACAATTTGCATAACTCATAAATTAGTATTGATGCATTATAATTGAGTGAAACCCACATACTTTATTCACTTTTCCTCAGCTTTTACCCACTGCTGTTTTTCTGTTCCAGGTTCCCTCCGGGACACCACGTTGCATTTAGTCATCGTGTCTCTCAGGCTTCTCTTGACTGTGACAGTTCTGCAGACTTTGCTTGTTGTCTGTGACCCTGACCGTTTTGAGGAGTGCTGGTCAGAAATCTTGTAGAATGTCCTTCAAGTTGGGCTCATCTGACGTTGCTTCTCATGGTTAGACCAGGGTTATGGGCTTGGGAGACGACTAACACAGAGGCGAGGTGCCATGCTCACATGGTATCAAGGATATGTGCTGTTAACATGCCATCAACACGACTCATCACTGTTGAGGTCGACCTTGATGACCTGGCTCAGGTAGTGGTGTCAGGTCTCTCCACTGTAGAGTTACGCCTTTTGTTCCCCCTCTCTATACTGTACTCATTAAGAGGAAGTCCCATGTGCAGCCCTCCTTAGGGGGCAGGGAATTATGTCCCATCTCCTTGAAGGGGAGTATTTACATAAATTATTTGGGATTCCTCTAAACAGGAGGTTTGTCTGTTCTCCCCCACTTAATTTATGTATTCCAGAATTCATTTAAATCCGGATAATGAATATTTATCTTATACTTTGGGTTATAATCCAATACTACATTATTTATATTTTTTCAAGCCATTCCAGCTTTGTCTATTGGGAGCTCTTACAGTTGGTTCCTGTGTCCCTTTGACATACCCCCGTTATTGCTTTTTGAGTACTTCTTTCCACTCTGACACTATAAGATGCTCCAGGCGCATCTCACGGATTCCGCTCCCCAGCCCTAGAATCAGCCATTTCTCCAAGAAACCCTGGTTCTTCTCATTGAGGATGGGATTAGATACCAAGATCTGGGCCCTGAGTATGCTCGTCGCTACTGAGGTTTCATTGCTTCTGGACCAATTCAGTGATCATGGTAGGAAATATCAGTGTGTATACTAACCCCTGTATATGCATATTATACATGCTTATCCATATGTGTAGGCAGATGATATAGACACAGGCATAGATGTAGATATAGGCACAGATATATATCCTTCTCTATCTATGTAAAGCTAAATATGAGTTCATACAACTTCTTCTACTTCTATCCGATACCCCATGGTTCGTGCCAGGAGGGGGATTTGACATCTTGAAAACAGTACAAGGAGACAAGATAGTGGGGAGGAAGTTCCCATAATCAGGGACCATGAGAAGAATCAAAGAGAACCGCATAGTGCCCTGTCTGTGTTGCCAATTATACTTCCATTCTGGGTGGCAGAATTTGTTCCCCGGGGACTGGGGAGAAAGGACAGGCTATCGCTGAGTGGTCCTTGGACCTGTGCTACGTGGTACCCAAGGAATTGTCCTGAGGCTGTTAAGAGAATGCTTCATGGCTTCTTTGTAATGAAACCAGAAACACTGAAGCCTTCTGTTTCTAACTAAAGCAACTTTTGGTGAGTTCACAATGTGCACAGCCAACATTGATACCATGCAAGGGAAGGGAGAAGACAGCAAATCTGAGAAATAGGAGTACAGATGAGGAAGCTAAGGAAGCTGGAGAGTGTGCACAGCTTTCGTGGCAGGATTGGGCCTCTGCTTAGCAAACAGGCCTGCAGCAGGGAGGGACGATATGTTTTGTTGGCATTTCTGTGAGAGGAGCTAGTGATTTACAAGAGCTGCCTAGCCAGTAGTGTGATGACCATGTTTGGCATCAGAATCAAGAAACAGTGGGGTTTCATGCAAGTCTCTTCCTGTTAATGATTTTTGGTCCCCAAAAAGCATCACTTCAGGGTTTGCTTAGAGCAAGAATGGTTCAGGACAAAAGAGACCCAAGGCATTTTCAGACTCTGAGCTAGAAGAAAAAAGCCCTGGTCTAGAATCATTCCTCACTGTGAGTAACGTGGACCAGGATAACATGACTCACAAACCGAAATAGACTACACGAATTGTCTGAACTTGGAACTCAACCCAAGTATTAATTTTTTCACTGCACTGAAAACAAAATCAAAGTTGTTTTTTAAAATCCTACTGAACCAGTTCAAATTAGAAGCAGTCTTCAGAAGAGGTTGAGCCAGAAGAAAAGAAAAATAAGAAAAGCAAAATCATTTGCACACAAGCATTTCATTCACGGCAAGTGTCTGGCATACACAAATATGTGCTGTGTGTGCTTCTATCAGTAGGGGCTCTTTTAAATGAATCCGACTTAACCTATTGGCTGGGTTAACTGACACGCCCGCCCTGTAACCTCTGCAAAGCCTGTGGGTGGCACTCTGGGTGCTCTGAGACACAGCTGGCAGGGGCTGGGGCGGAGCCACTCTCTTCTGGTGTTCTGGTGAGCCACACACTTCGCAGGAGTAGGTTATGTATATTGTTCCCAAACCTGTTTATATCAATCGCACTTATTATTGCAATTAAATACACTGATCAACTATAAATGCAAAAAGAAAGACTTCTTGTGACTGTGAAAGCTAAATTGAATGCTGTGAAAAGAAAAGATAAAGCTGAGTTGCGTTAGTAAAAGAAGAAGAAGGAGGAGGAGGAGGAAGAAAAAGAAGAAAGAAGAAGAAGGATGAGGAGGAGAAGGAGAAACAATGCTTATCTTAAAGAAAAGTTCTCAGTAAACCAATGCAAATTTGAATGTTTCATATGGATAATAAAATTATATATGTTTCATTTTAATGGTTTTCTGCTTTTGGCTTAAATATAAATGGCCAACTGTCCCTCTCCAGTGTCAGATCTGAGGGTTTCTACTGTATACACATCTTTTCTTCCTTCTGAAACACCAATCTGTGTATGAGGATGAAGGACACCAGCTTTTCTTCGGGTCAAAGACATGCATGCTGCCGCCACAGTCTCGCTACATCCAACCCTCCATGCAGGGAGCAGACCAGCAGCTGCACTCACAGGCTGTGTCACTTTGGGAAGCCACCTTGTCCTTCCAAGACTCAGCTTCCTCCTCTGTAAAATGAGGGTGACAGTGGTTCAGAAGCTGCCATACTCTCAAGGATGAGAAGTAATAGAGCTGTTCGTAGATGAGAACAAAACTACTTCCAGGACAGAGAGGGCAACTCTGCCTGCTAACAAGAGATGTCTTTAGAGGCCACTTATTTAGTGTCATTTTGAGCTTTCCCAAAACAATAGCAAGAACAATTGCATTTATGCATAAGTGGAGGAGCTGTGCCTAGCTTGTAGGATCTTTGTGTTGATTAAATGAGATAAAGTATCAGAAGCTCATAGCACAGAGATGGACCCATGCCAAGAGCTTCCTATATGTTGGCTGTATTGCTGTCTAACCAAGCCACCCGATCCTCTGTGCTGGGTGGCTAATCCCCAAATGGAATCGTGAAGCACTCTACTGCACAGATGGCTTCTGGACTAACGCCACAGACCAGGCTGGTCTCCCCACCTCCAGCCACCTTCCTCCCCGAGCTATTTGCCATTCCCCGGCCAGCAGGCCTTTCCTAGCTGCAGCTGTCTCCCCCACTGTCCCCAGGCACTTGCCACTCTTATATGCCAACTCTTCACAAGAGCTGCTTCCTCTCCACTGGGATGCCCAGTTAGCATCTCATACTAAACACAGCCAAAGCAAAACTCTTGATTTTTCACACAAAACCAGGTCTTTTCCCAGTCTTCCCTATCACAGTAACTACCCCCATCCACCCGGCTGCTCCAGGCAAATGCTTAGGTGTCATCTATGATTCCTCCCATCCCTCAAACATAAGGGACCATGTATTCGAAGTCCCATCAGTTCTACTCTTCCAAATATCTTAGTTTCTTTGTTTTACCACCTCTATAGCTACCACCCCAGGCTGAGCCTCCACCCCTTCTAGCCTGGACCCCGCAATGGCCTCAGCCCTGGGCACTTCCCTGTTGCATTGTCTTCAAATTCCTTCTGGAAGGCCCACTCTCCAGCCACCAGCCACCCTGGGCTTTCTCCTGTTCCTCAAACTTTTCACGCTTATTCCTGCCTCAGGATGACCGCACCTGTAGTTCCTTCTGTCTAGAACTCCCCGACAGCCCCACGAGCCAATTCTAACATACATGTCACCTCTCCAGGCTTACCCAGGCCACCCTATCAAGTCCCATCCATATCACTGCCCTCAGAACACTCCCCAGCTCTCCCTGTCACATTATACAGTATTGTTTTCACAGTTGTCATCCTCCGAAACTATCTTACATGTTTATTTATTTATTGCCTACTCCACCCTGCTCCACCACTAGAACTTAAGTTCACCGCTGAAACCTAGAACAATGGCTGGCTCATAATAGATGCTCGACAAAATGGGATCGAACAGATGAACGAACACCCAACACATCATCCTTCCTCCATTCTCCAGCTAACTCTATCCCTTGGCTTCCCTTGTTTTCTCAGTGGCAGCTCAAGCATCACAACTTTTTAGAAGGCAAGACTCACTCGCCCCCACTCCCACACAGGAAGCCACCCCCTCTGTGTGCACCTTTTTACACGATTCCATCAAGACCCAGAGCCCTGTGAAGCCAAGGACCACGTGTCACCCACCCTTCCAGCCACAAGGCACACAGAAATTTTCTACATCTCCGACTTCCTTGCCTTCTCTGAACACTAGATCCGAGCTGGTCATCCTCTCCCACCCCTTTCTGTCAGAAGCTGCCTTTATATTAATAGCACTTATCTCCAATAACATCCATCTCCATTGATCGATCGATTTGTTCTGCTCATCTATTGTCTGCCTTCCCCTATGAATCCCCAGTGCCTGGAACAGTGGCTGAGACATAGTAGGTACCCAGAAAGGCTTTGTTTCCCAATGACTCATTCAACTTGTTTGTTAAACAAGGGACTGATTAAGTGATTAGCCACCATGAGCACTTTAAGTGAGCACTTTAAGTCTCAGGGTACCCAAAGAGCAGGAGATTTAGTGCTATGTTTATAGTAGTTACTCATGTTTTCCAAAACAAGACACAGGGACATGATTCATGAAAATCACATTTTCAAACAAACGTTGGAGGAGGAGGAGGGCAAGAAGAGATTTGGCTAATGAGCAAACTGTACCCTGAGTGGCTCCAGGGCGCCCACCACCTGAATTGCTGACTGCTTGCTTCTTTGGTTTGGCATCGAAAGCGCAGCCAAGAACAGCAGGTCTCTCTGCAGCTCTACTAATTCTATTTCAATTAGTTCAATTGGAAACAGGTCTATAGATAATTGCCCAGATGCTGGATTTTATCAGAGGTCACATTACATGTGCAGCTCAAGAAGATGAACATCAATATTGATATGTAGCAAAACGGTTTCCAAAGCCAGTTCCAGGAAGAGGAAAGGAGGCTCAACAGCCCCTTTCCAAGGCAGGAGCCATCGGGTCACCTGTCTTCTTTATGGTCTCAGCCTGTGTGTGGGAACTCGAGATCTGCTGGCGAACCCAAGTTGGCGTCTCCCGTGTGACATGTAAATAATATCGACCACATTAAGTTACCCTAGGTCCATGGCATTGCTGCAGACATGAAAAATGGAAGCTGGGCCATGTGGCAGCCACAGAGTTGGGTGATGTGGCAGCCACAAGGGCGGACAAAGGGAAGACCAGGACTGAGCCTGCCCACGAGGCCCGCAGAACAGAAGCCAGTGTGGGCTACCGCCAACCAGCCCCCAAAGTGATGTTTGCTCAGGATGGCGTGCGAGGCCTGGCCAGAACAGGTCCACCACAGTAGACAGAAACGCACAGCTGATTCCAAATAGGTTCTCAAGTCTAGAAACACACCCAAGAACTTAGCTGATGGTGCTTCACCTTTAGGCAGGGTCTCTGTGAAGAAGACACAAAGAAAAGTTACTCTGTGTCGCTTTCTTGTTCACTATGAGTGAGAGAGGCCCGTGGATCGTGCCTCTGGCCCCTAAGAGACGTGCTGGAGCCTGGCCCAGCACGGTGAAACCTCCTGGGAAGCTCAGGGAACACTGCTGCCTGCCTTCCCCTAGAGATTCGCCTGTTATTGGACTTAGACTGCGGTGTGGCCTGGGAATCGGCCATCTTTAACTCTCCCCAGGGACGTTCAGGTGATGCCAGGGTGAGAACCGCTGCCCTAACACAGCCTCAGGCTGAGGAGACCCCAAACCCAGGTTCCACCTTCACACATGGATACCCCCAGCGGCTCCATGACCCACCAGACTCATTCTAAAGCAAAGAGCCAAAAAAGGGACAACACTCCAACTCCCGTCACCAGAGGTCCTTCTGAAACATACACTATCCTTCCATGTGGGTTTTATCAAGGCCCTCATAATTCCCTATAACATCCTAATTCCTTAGACTGGTCTTCTGAGGCCTACATCTGCCTGCTCGTATATTCATCCAACAAATGTCCATTGAGCGCGTACTATGGGCCCAATGCTCTTGTTCTCATGGAGCTTTCCTTCTATTAAGGGAAATGGAAAATAAACAATGAAACATCACACATGGAATCATTTCAAAACCTGAAAAGCGAATGAAACAGATAAAGCAGGGTGATGCGACATAGAGAGACAGGTCGTGGGGACACCTGTTAGGTGCTTCGTTAGGTGCTCAGATCAGGCCCGTTTGATGAAATAATGTCGGAGCTGAGCCCTGAACATCGGAGGGAAAAGCACTCCAGCAGAGGGAACAGCGATGGTCTCAGTAGCAGCCTCCCTGCAGCCCCGCTTCCACCCCTCTGCTGCCACGCTGGGGGTCAGCGGCTTCCCTGCCTTGGCGCTTTGGATTTATCGCATCAAAAGTAGCGTCTTCGAATCCACATCTATTACTTCTTCAAGAGCCCCCTCCTCCAAGAATCTCTCCACAACCAGCCCTGCCATGTTCTCAGCACTCTCTGCCTCACCTCCAATGTCTGCGAACGGCCTCGGTAAACTGCAATGGGCATAAAAGCAAGATTGCTATTCTTCATGCCTCCTTAGCATCCTGCCCGAATTCACACTGAATCCTCACGCCCTTGATTTTATTGTCTTGTTGTTTCACCTGGATAAAACTAGTCTCCTCCTAGAGGGCTGTTGGTCCTTCAGGGCATAGATCAGGTTTCCCGTTCCTTTTTGGTAGTCCAGGTTTCTCCTGGAACAGAGCTAGGCATTTATTCACAACCCCCTGACACAACTGTTTATAGGAGGAGTCGACTAGGCTGTCAATAAGTGTTTGTTTGACTGAGGGAATTAATTAGTAAGACTTGCCTCAAAACCACACAGCCTTCATTCTATTTTGCACCCTCATTATCTCAGTTTTATATGCAAGGAAACTAAGGCACAGGAAGATTGGGCATCTTGCCCCGGGCCACACATCTGGTAAGTGGTAAAGCTAGGGTTTAAACCCAGGTCTGCCTGGGTTTAAATCAGACGCTGCAACCACTCCGCATGACACTAAGAATGAAGGTCAGTATTCCCATCCTCGACTTTTCAATAACGAAACTAAAATTCATGAAAGGATTAGTAGAGGTGTCCTGGTTCAAGGACTGAGTTGGTACCAAAGCCAGGGGCAGCATTGGTGGCTGCGAGTGCCAAGGCCTCTGGCTCTCACTTTGCCACATCCCTTTCAGAAAGGTCAAAATTCCAGTCAGGATTCAATCAAAGGATTCAACCATTGCTGTGCCCTGGGCCGATTTTAACTGCTGCCAGGGAATTCCTGACAATAGGTGAAAATATCTAATGAAAGAGTAGATGGGCAGAAGGCCAGAGCATATGCATTCAGTTTAAATAACTTTCTTTCTTTCTTTCTTTCTTTCTTTCTTCCTTTCTTCCTTTCTTCCTTTCTTCCTTTCTTCCTTTCTCTTTCTTTCTTTCTTCTCTCTCTCTCTCTCTCTCTATCTCTCTCTCTCTCTCCCATTTGAATAGTGGAGATCTGGAGGGATGGGGCAAGAAGCTAACATTTATCAAGCACCCCGAGAAAGTCAATTACCCTCACATTTGTAGTATGGGCTTAATGGAGGGTGTAGTATGTGCTAAATGCTGCCACATTTAGCACATAAAATACAAGACA